TAGATGCTTTCCGAGGCTCGAGGGTGGAACACCGCCAACTTCCAGACTCCGGGCTGCTACTGAGAATATCTAAACAAAAACCCAATAACTGATTTTTGAGAACTCAATAACTGACACCAGGCAGACTTGAACAATATTATGTTGAATAAAACTATTTTTTACGAATTTACTTTTTGATATCATTTTTGAATTTACTGATTAATTTACTTATTTTAATTCCCGACGTTTCGGGTGCTTTACAGCAACCCATGTTCACGGGGTTGACTGAAATGTTTGAAGTCCCGATGTCATAGTCAGCCCGGCTACCTTCAATTTTTGGTTCGATCTACGCAGAATGATCTTATACTATCTTGAAGTCTTGCAGTGCTATGCTTGGGTTTGGATTTAATTTTGTTAATTATAGGATTCTATGCAGATGACAGCACCCGTCCATTAGGATGTCTTTTTAATTTTAATAGCGTCGCGTATCATCCTTGGTAGGAATCGGTGTTCTTTTGTGAGGATTTGTGGTCTATCAAATCTGATATAATGACGGGGACGATCTTGAAAATGTTCACAGACTGCAGACTTCCTAGAGCGTCGGTGCCTAACGTCAGCTATATGTTCTTTCACGCGGGTTTTAATTGATATTTGTATTTGTCCTATGTAAGAGAGACTACATTCGCAATCAAACTCGTGCATCTTGTAGACGGAGAATTATATTATGTTTCTCGCACCGACACTCCCGCCCCCGCACCGCCATCCCGTGTCGCCGCCTACCGCCACCATAACTACTTATTTTATCGCACGATAGTTTTTATAAAAAAAATGGTTACTGTAAGTAATTGTCCCTAAAAGATAGACATATTATGTGGACGCAAACTTTTTTTAGAACTTTTATAGAGAAACTTTAACTATTAACAGCGCACGCTATGAAAGCTCTCAAGAGGCACGACATTTTCCGACTTAGTTGACGAAAATTATCATAACATTTGGATATAATGTATGTATATACATAATATATAGCCTATGTCTATCTGGAATAATGTACAAATTTGTCTGTCTGTTTATTTGTTCCGGCTAATCTCAGAAACGCTGGACGGATTTTGATGGGACTTTTAAACTGGCAGATAGCTCATGTTATATAATTAAGGTTCCGCGCAAAAAAAATTACAGCCCATGAAATCCAATCGTAATAAATTCCACGCGGACGAAGTCGCGGGCAACAGCTAGTACTACTATTTAAACTACAAGAGCTGAAAAACAAGTATGTGTCAATTAGGTCCGGTACCACGCCGGTGCAACGCGACGGTGAGTTGGAACGTGAGAACCAAAACAAGAACGTAATATCATCACCTGAACGTGTTAATTGCAGCGGTTCATAGAAAATGTCTCATCAGCTCATCAGATGCACGTCGCACATTCTTTGTAGTTTATATTGATAATTAACTTTAGTTTCTAGAACAAGAATGTGGCACAGTCTGAAAACAATCCGAAAACCATTTTTTAAGTTAAAATTCAGTTTATATACGCCGTACGTGGAGTGATACTCGTAAGTACTACATACACATAATTGGTACTCGTAAGTACTACATAGGTACACTACGCTCATTAAAAGTTGCAAGTTAAACTATAAGTAATATATCGTCAATAGTCTGCCGTCCTGCAGTGCGTGTTTTTTTTTTATAGAATATAATTGACAAACGTACACACAGTCTACCTGATGGTAAATGGATGATGTGGCCTATAGATATCTACATTTATCCTGGATTAAGAATCGAAATGAAGATGCGTGGGCAACGCATTTGTCGTTGTCGCAACGCGTTGTCCACGCATCTTCATGAAAAGGACTAATATGGAATGCCTCGCTTTCAGTAAAAGGGGTCTTTGGTTCCGTACACGGACCATAAGAAATACAGCAGCATTAAGCTGCTTTTTACGCTGATATCCTGTGATAGCGTGGTTCCTAGTCCAGTTGAACCGACCAATTCGTACTACAAGCATATATCTGCAGCGTGGATCTACCACGTATGTTGTTCTGTAAGTATGTGATCTTTAATGAAAATTTTCGATAGGAATTAAAAAAAATCATTTTACAAATCAAGCTCCTACTAATACCTTGCAAATAAGAAAAACTGATGTCCTGCACCGTGGAGCAGCACATACTATTCACGTCACATGATAGAGCCGCGCTGCAGCTACATTATGTTTGCAACTTGGAAAATTGAACTCTCTTCTCTCACGTAACACCAGTGTAAAATAGCTGTATAATTCTGCTGTATTTTGTAAGATGAGTGACAAGAATCGGAGACGCTTTCACAGGTAACGAGTCATCTCTTAGTATCACTTGTGACCTAGTATCACCTGAGAACATATATCGTACTATCACATGAAAAGTATGACAGCGCATCTGCATTTTGATTCTTAATCGAGTCTTACACGCATCTCTAAGGATCACAGCCTCCACTTACCAAAAGTCGTTTGCAAGATAAATATTAGCCGTTCTAAGTTAATTAAGGCATACAAAATTAATACGTATAGATAACGGTTTTTCATGGCATGGAAATTATTTTTGTTTCTTACTGTCAGTAGTTCAGTTTTTAACATCAGTATTGCAAAATTATACGGAAAATAAGAAACATCTTTACTTTTATTCATGTTTTGCGCTTAGTCGATTTGCATTTATTCTTGTTAATTAATATCATGCATATTCTTATGCATTAATCAAGTTGTTACTCCTTGTTTATTTCTATAGTTCTGAGAACTAATTAGTGACGTTGTGCAGCTCTTGAACAACCAAAACATGGGTAGGTATACGAGTATTGGCGAGTTACGGCGCGCATCACCTGTTCCTATTATCGGCTGTTCATTACTTGTACTGCCCGAAACAAATACGCTCGCGGTAAAAACGCGCAGCTCTTAGGAGATAATATGAATAGAATAGAATAATTTGTATTTAATATAGATTATTAAATAATACTTATTAAAAGTTTTTTTTTATTTACCACTACTTCAGAAAATTCTTCTGTCCTGGGAAGAACCAGCAAAAAACCCAGATATTGTTTTTAAACATATATTAACTTTACAATAATATTACAATTTTTTAAATGAATTACTATAGAACCAACATGTTAGTGATCACCTCATAGCCTCAGGGGTTATTTTCATGCATGTAATCTATAATAACACATTTTGTACAATTTTTTTTTAATGAATCTTTTAAACTTGTTAACATACTTTGCTGCTTGAGAATTGCTATATTTTGCTGCACCTTAGTAGTCAAAGAATAAATTAGCAACATAATTATCAGATACGGCTGTAATTCCGAGACATCTCTTATATACCTATTGGTGATCTTACCTACACTATTGAAGATTTGTCCATATTTACTGTGAATTATTCCTATATTATACATTATCCAACATAAGTACAATTTAAAATTAAAAATTTTGTACAGCTGACTTCAATATAAACCATTAATAATAACTCACAAACTGTTGATCAGACCTTTATCAAATTTATACCACATGAGAAGCATCAGCTTTCAAATAAAAAAAGAATCATCAAAATCGGTTCACCCAGTAAAAAGTTATGAGGTAACACACATAAAAAGATAAAAAACATACAGTCGAATTGAGCACCTCCTCCTGTTTGAAGTCAGTAAAGAATTACGTCTATGTTACCCGCCAGAGGCTGGTGAGAACAAAGCCGATGCTCTCAAATTACTGCGATCATCAAGTTACTCGGCTTCACAGAGTTAGTAATTCATGTATGGAGCAATCAGATTTAACGTGGTAAGCACACGTTGCAGCTATATTATGGTTGCAGTACGAATGGGTTGGTTTGGCAGTGGAAAAGCCATGCTCTCATAAAATACCAGTGTAAAATAGCAGGTTAATACTGCTGTGTTTCATATAATAAGTGTAGAGATCCTTTTTACGCACGTGGTAGAGCAATGCTGGAGCTCTATTACTGGTATAGCTGTTATATCACGAATAGGTCGGCTCGACCGGGGTAGGACCACGCTCTCACAGAATACCAGCGTAAAATAGCAGCTCAATGCTGCTGTGTTTCGTATGGTGAGTGTGGAGAACCGGAGACATTAGTGGAAATGAGGCATTCCATCATCCTTTTAGTCTACGGGCCACAGCAACCACTTACCATCGAGTGGACTGTGTGCTCGTTTGTCACCTTAATCCTATAAAAAAAAACAGGAAACGAGTCATTCCATCTCAGTCCTCAGGGGTAATAACGCATCTTCATTTTGATTCTTAGTCGAAGATAGATTTATAGGTGGTCTGAAAAGACCGACCTAACGAAGATACAACACATTTTTTCTTTCTTGTTACTCTACACACTTCTCCCAGCGATGCTCCCATCTCTCTAACCCGTCCAAATAGTACTCGGAATTTTTCTCTGCAAAATAATTGTTCATGGAGATTGCTGATCCTCATTTGACGAAAATCTCTGTCCTCCGAGCGCAATTTTTAGATGAGGGAACAAGAAGGAGTTATTTGGGCTTAGATCTGGTGAGTAAGGCGGATGGTCAAGTAGTCCAAACCGTAAATAGTGGATTTTCACCAAACAGGATTTTCGTGAAACAGGAATTTCTTTTCCTGCAAACGTGGTCGTTTTTCCGCAATTTCTGCCTCCAGTTTGTCAAGTAATAATGCGTAGTATGCTCTTGTAATGGTTTTTCCTTTTTGATGATAATCAATTAAGATAACTCCATGACTATCCCACAAAACAGTTACCATCACTTTCTCAGCCGAAAAATCAGATTTTGATTTTTTTGGAGACGGTTCCCCCCTTGCAGTCCAATGTTTTGACTGTACTTTTATTTCGGGCGTATAATAGTGTATCCAAGTTTCACCAACAGTAATTAATCGGCGCCAAAACTCTGGTTTATTGCGCCTAAACTGCACCAAGACAGCGTTGGGAATGTTCATTTGAACACGTTTTTGGTGTAACGTGAACAAACGCGGCACCCAACGCGCTGACAGCTTTCTCATGTCTAAATCTTAATTTAAAACTCGAGAAACACGTTTAATGTACATTTTCGTAGCCTCTGCTATCTCTCTCACTTTAATCCGGCGGTCGTCTAGCACCATTCGGTGAACTTTAACGATGTTATCGTCAGTGGCGTAGCTATGTAACCAAGGGCCCCGGGCAAAAATGAAATTGGGGCCCTATTTAAACTAAACTAAATACTTTAAAGATGCAAAACTACTTCATCATCAACTCCTTGTCGCCCACTGGGCACAATAAAGCAAAGTTACTACTAAGTATTATGTGTAACGCATACACAATGACGAGGTACATTACAGCTAATAATATTGGCAGACAACATAAGTGGAAGAGCCACACGGCAGCTTTTGCTGTCGCACTGGTGGACCATACTAGATAGAGTGATGACCTGGTAAGACATGAAATGAAGAGCTGTAATGAATCGGTTGACCGGCTCGAACCGAAGAGGTACCACGACCTTACAGACAACCAGCGTGAAGTGAAGTTTACTTCGCCTGGTAAGTGCAAGTGGTCGGAAGCCTGACCCCTCTCCCTCTTAACATGGTAGTGTAATTAAAAAAGAATACATCCCAGGAGGGTACCAGCACCCCTGGTATTGGAGACTCCCTGGCTGAGCAGCCACGCCCAAGCTACCCTACTCTTCCTTAGCGCGGGTGCTCAGGCTGACTCGCGTAGACTTTTTTTTTATAGAATAAGGGTGACAAACGAGCACACAGTCCACCTGATGGTAAGTGGTTGCTGCGGCCCATAAATCTATCCTATATTACAAATCAAAATGTAGATGCGTTGTCACCCGTGAGGACTAAGATGGAATGTCTCATTTCCAGTAAAAAGGGCCTCCGGCCACCTGCACTAACCAAGCGAAACGCAGAGGTAAATCTCTACTTCACGCTGGTTTTCTGTGAGGTCGTGGTACCACCCCGGTTCGAGCCGGCCCATCCGTGCGACAGCAAAAGCTGCCGCGTGGCTCTACCACTGTTAAAAGACTTCCACACAAGACTAATACTGCTCGTGGCAAATAGAGCAATAAGATAAAGGAAGCCCTGCCACGCTATCCGTGAATTTCTGCAACATCAGGGGATTTTATTCGAACGTAAACAAAGTCCACTAGGTACCATCTGAAAACGGCGAAGCCAACCTTGTTCTTTCTAACCGAGGCGCAGGTGTCCTCTCCGGTCGATACTTCTCTCCTATCCGGGACACTACAAATTAGAACACCTTTGTGCCTCGGGATGGAGATTGCGTATACGTCAGAGAGGAACTCTGTTCTCGATGCCCCGGCAGTCTTGAAGGTCACCGACGACCATCCTCGCGTCTAGGGTGCCTCTATAGGAAATGCCGACACAGACCAATTCATCGACCACGTCCAAATTGCTGCAGACTCCGTGCAGGCCCCATTTGCAGAGATCGTTGTCCTTGGTGATTTTAACAGCCACCACACTGAATGGCTTGGTTCTCGTTTAACCTGTCATGCGGGAAGATCTGTTTATGACTTTGCCTTGGCATATGGTCCGACACAAACGGTTACTTCGCCTACGCGGATTCTAGGTGTGGAGGATAGTACATAATTTTTCGAACGTCTTTCTTGGAGGCCAAGTGGCCCCTTTAACTTGGGGGCCCCGGGGCATTGCCCTGCCTAGGCCCTGGGTAGCTACGCCACTGGTTATCGTCAGTAGTTGCAGCTTTTGGACGTCCCGAACGTTTATCGTCTCCCAAGCTCTCACGTTTAAATTCAGCTACCCAAAATTTCACTGTGGTAAATGACGGTGCCGAGTCCCCATACACAGAGTCCAACTCATCTATGATTTCCGTAAGCGTATTGCCTTTCAAAAACAAAAATTTAATCACAGCTCGATACTCAATTTTTTCCATTTTCACAAAAGCACACATCTACTCACTTAAACGACTGTGAAATAACAACTAGGTGTCAAAAATGGCTGAAATTTTAGTGCGTAACTGTCAAAGATGCACAACTACATTCACTAGCTTTTATTGATGAGTGCTACCATCTTCACGTTGAGTTCGGATACTCTTCAGACCATCCTGGTACAGTCTAAGAACAACATACAGTCAGTCATCGTGTTTGATGCTGTCAGAAAAGCCGACATAAACAATCAATTATAATATATAGAGCTATGCTGCAGCTATATTAGTGGTATAGTTGTAGCACGAATGGGTCGGCTCCATGAAGCTAAATGGTCGGCTCGACCTGGGAAATACCACGCTCTCACAGAATACCAGCGTCAAATAGCAGCTTAACACTGCTGTGTTTCGTATAGTGAGTGTAGAGAACTGGAGACCCTTTTTACTGTAAACGAGGTATTACAGTCCATCTTAGTCCTCAGGGGTGAAAACGCTTCTCATAAAATTGATTTTATTTATTTCACTTTTAAACAAATTAATGTGTGTGTGGGAACGGACGAAACTAATTTCTTATCTTTAAATGAGGATGACCCACAGTATTTTACCGCAGATGTAGTGTGAACCATTTCAATTTATTTGCGTGACAGGGCAACCCTAGCGAACAATTCCTGAGTGGCTAAGGGCCGCTCGGGAAGTGCTCATCCCGCTTCTCACCTCGCACAGCACCGCACGTGTGCCCCGTCTAGACACCTTCGATGACGATGACCGACTGTTAGTAGTAGTTAAACTGTAACCCTGGTAGGTATGTCTATGGACCACATCATGGTCTTATTATCAGGTCTGTGTGCTTTTGGCCGTAGAAGGAAAAGGGGAGATTTTCTTCCCACCGGGCATGGTAATAAGCCCGGGGAGCGGCCAATGTTCCGTGTGGTAGTACAAAACTATTCTATATATACAGCAGGGCGTTCGGAACTTTGATAGCGCAATTTAGGCATCGGTGCGTTTCGTTTGTGACGCGACGACAATGCCACCACATGCTCCTTAGTCACTCTGATGCTATAAAAAAACCGACTTCTTGTACTACGGTCATACGTTAACAAAATTATGTTATTATGATATTCGAGCGAGTTTTTTTTTTAATTTTAATATATGCTTGAAGAATCTTATCAATTTGAGACATCTATTTAATCTCCAACATTTAAACGTACCCGTGTATCAAACGTGTTAACGCAGTAATAAATAATTTAGTGACGTTGAAGGATTGTTCTCGGCGCGAGGAGCAATTTTTTACGCAGCGTCCGCTCCGCACACACGTCCCTGCCTCCAAATGACAAATACTTCTCTAGCGCACTGTAGTTTATTTGATTAATGACGCAGCAGACTCCAGCGCATCAATAAGCTATTTGCATGTAGTAAGCATTTGAAGTGTTTTTTTTAACATAACTTATTTTATGGGTAGGTACTGCAGCCATTACCAACTGTAGCCACCTTCATACAAAGAAATTCGTGAGTGAAAATTGAAATAAAAATCCTTGTGCCAGTAATTTCACCAGGTTGGTACCAATCCAGACACACTCTTAGACAAAATAGGAGCCTCACCGCCTACTTTTATTTTATAAATAGGTTCTACGAGTACCAGAGCTAAGTTTGCCTAGTGGACAGAAGCTGTTCCAAATTTGTCAAATTTGTTACCCTTTGTTCTTCTATATAAATCCATGTACATAATATGTATATCAATTTCTCTATTTCAAGCGGATAAGATCTCTTTATTTTTTAAAGATTTTAAAAAAGCAGGGAATAATTAACTATTAAGTATCTATTTGATTACCGTTTTCATGATAGCTTTAGTCATTGCGAACAACCCCAATGAGTTCCCGCCTCGTCTTGGCGGGAGCGGCTCGGCCAACAGCCGGTCCGAGTGGTATACAGAGCCAGTATGCTTACACGTCGTGGGGCTTCCCATCAGAGTTCTGAGGTGACAACGCATCTGAAAGCCAAGATATTCGTGCGCAAAGGGTAGGTATTCAGCGCTACTTCTCTCCCTATTGAAATAAAAAAAAATTCGCGTAAATATAAGAAATCATTATAAAAAAAATTTAGAAAAAGTAACCACAACTATCATAACAAACAATATTTGATTGTTTAGGTACCGTTGTATCAAAAAAATTTGATATTGAATATCCTAGCCTTAAAACCCAACTAATAAGAGCAACGGACCAAAATGTAAAACAGTCCACGCGTACTGAAAACCTTTCTATGTTGATTATGTGAGGTAATCCATGAGGCTCAAGGAGGAGGAAAGGACAGCGGTGGGGCGGCACGGTAATTACTGGGCAGTGTGGCTTAGTGTGCGGCGAGAGGGGGTAGGGGTGTGCGGGGCGTGACTGAATCGCGCTACTTTTTGCGGCCGACGCAATGTATACGCGGCGAGCGGCCGTTCCACGAACACAATTACCGCATCCGCCACCGCCATCTTGTTGCGCGCCCGCAACTTGCCAGGGCTGCCAGGTTAACGTGGTGTTAAATCATGTATCAAATCTGCCTCTAATAAATTGTGTAAAAGAAACAAACTGGATTTTTTTGCTGTTAAGCGACACTAAATAATACAGTACCTACACATAAAAAATATATACTTACAGTGTAGCTTATGGAATATAGCAGGTTAGTATTTTTCCTGATGATTCTCGCTTCATAAAATAATTTAAGTTTTAAAAATGTCAGTAACAAAAAATAAGATAACAAAGTGTTGACTTCAGAATTCAGTAGGGCGAAGCAATAACAGAAACAATTAATAACGTGTTCTGATTTTTTTTTAATTATATCGTTACCGGTAGGTTTCGCAACTATTGAAGACTTCAATCCTTAATCATTAAATATTTATATAAAAATTGGGGCGATTGGAAACGATGTTGTTTGTAAGAATAATAACATGCTTTTTTCTTTAATCTGTCTGATTCAATCTTTAGTTAAAGACGCAGGCCTTTCCGAGAAAATGTCAGGTGACATGTATTTTTTAAAACAGTTGCCTACTCCGCACACTGAGCTAGTGAGTCAACCGGCATCCTCGCACACTTTGAAATTTCTGCAGATTTTTTTCTCCAATCTATCTGATGTTTCTTAGAGACTGATGTTTCTAGTTTCTATATAATAGTCCATTATATAGAGCTCGTCATTTTATACCTCGTATCGACTCGTCCAACCTCAATGGGTATTGCTGAAAACCAACGCTACCATAACCATGCGATAAAATATTGAGTCGGTGCTCTTTTCAGCGTCACGTTGCTCGTGGAATCAGGTTTTTTCATGTCTGTTTTCTTTTATTTATTTTTTACCTTTGGTGTTTTATGTGTCATTTTATTTTCTGTATTAAAACTGTACTAGTGTAAGTTGTTGAGTACCTAAATACATGTCTATTTTCTATTAATGATAACTTCGCGTCCAAATTTCAGTCCAATTTGTCCTATTTACTAAAAACCTTGTTGTAATGAAAACATATCGAATTTGAATATTTTGTTTTAATGTTAGCGCGAGTGCTAACCCTGTGCGGGAGCGGCAATGGCAGGCGACAATTATCGGCTATTAACGTAAAGTGGTGGCGGGCGACGTGGTGGCGGGATTTACAGCGCACCATCGTACCAACAACTACACGCTGCATTTAGTACTAACACTGATCACTCATAGTTGTTTATAAATAAATTGTACCATTGGCGCTGGAAAGTGCCCGAAACGTCGGGAATTAAAAAAGTTACAAATTAAACGCGATAAAATCCGTAAACTTAGTGTTATTCCAAATAAATAGTAAATTAAAATATTTTATTTCAATCATCATGGATCATCCATTACATTCATTACATCCTATAAAAGTCCAATGATGAACATAGGCCTCCCCCTTAAATAAAGGTATAACTTTACTGTGTTTCATTAAATCATCAAACACACCAGGTTCGATACTAACAAGTTGGGGTGCGATCGCATCTATTATAGACGTGACCTTTCCGATCGTTACGACCTTGAATTTGCATCAGGACCGGCTGGGTTGGCGGGGAAGAGGCAACGCTCAGATTGACCAAAACCTATTTATAGGCTGTTAATGGACATGGATAAAGTCGTGCAGGTTGGGAATTTCATGGTCTCAATAGTGAAAACACACATGACGATTTAAATTATAATAAGTCGGGGAAAACTTTCTTCGTTTTTTATTTACAAATGATTCAAAACTGTTTTGAAGTCAAACCTCGATTCCTCGGCTATATTGTAACTACTAATATGTCGATCTTGCTCCACTTTTTCAAAAATGGCATCGACTTTAACTATATTAGAGCGTCCAGAGCGAGCTGCATCTTTGACACCAAAATTTTCGGACTGAAAACGCTTGAACCATCTTTGTGCTACTCTTACTGACACTGAATTAGGTCCATAAAAGTCACAATTTCTTTTCGCGGCTCGAGTCGCATTTTTCCCTTTTGTGTAATAAAAATTCAGAATGTATTGAAAATTTTTCGTGAGATTTACTCATTCATTTTGGCGGAGAGAAAAACAATTGCAAAATAGCGGGAAAGTGTTTTTACTAATTTTTTTAGTTCTATATGCGATATTAAAAACAACCACATACAAACAGTATAACCAAAGAGATTTTTCTTTAATTATAGGTACAAACAAAATACCTAGATAGATAGATAGATAGATAAAGCATTTATTTGTTTCTCCAATCACACACGTAAATTCAGTAACTAAACTAAGTACAAAGTAACATATTACGAAAAAAAAATAATTTACAAAAATTTAAAATCTAAATGTACATGTGTGGTGCAGTTTGACAAATGGGTCGTAGATCAGCGATTAATATTGCTCAGAGAGCAAACTCTGACTTTCAGCTATTACCCTTGAGATGACGAGAAGAAAATGAGCACAATAGTTAATCAGTTTAAATATGTTATATATGAATGATGTGTCCTTTCAGCCCTACGACTTGCATCTTGGGTTCAATTTAGTAAAAGTACTGAAGGGGCGTGTAAGTGTGTAAGATT